GCCTGCAGCCTCCCTGCAGCGTCTCCCTTCCCCCGTTGCAGTGAGGCTGGACAAGCTCTCGGAGGTGGCCAAGGTGAACACGGATGCCATCCGCTTGGCCCAGGAGGAGATCTGCGAGTACCGCCGCCAGCTCCAGTCCAAGACCACCGAGCTCGAAGCCCTCAAAGGGACCCAGGAGTCACTGGAGAGGCAGAGGCAGGACTCGGAGGAGCGCCATCATGCAGATGTCCTGTCCTACCAGGTAGCGTGGCGCAGTGGGCAGCATCCCAGACCTGTCATTAGCCAGGAGGAACCACCCCACTGCCGGGGAGGAGCAGTGCTGGTGCTGTGGCCTCGGAGATGGTGACGACTAGCGGCAAATACTGGTGGTTTTGTCTAGAGCTATCTTTCTCCAGCTCCCATTGGTCGGGTATCCACAGCCCGAGGTTGCATCCAGACCGTTGTGTCCCTCACCGCTGACAGGGCTGTCCCACGTATCTGCCCGGCTTTGAGCTGCTGCTGATGTCGGTCACAAACGCCACTGAACCGCGCTCAGGGTTTGGGCCATGGCTTGCGTCCCAGAGCTGGGAAGCGCAGTGCAGAGGGTGGCACCAGGTGGTGGCCATGGGCTGAAATGCTGTCCCCAGGGCGATGCTCCACCAGCCTCAGGCTGGGGTTTGGTGGCCACCAGACTCATTGCAAGTCCTAGAAACGTTTCCACAGCTTGTCTCTGCTGGAGGGGGCACTGGGAGGGGGCCAGGGGCTCAGCTGAGGTGGTGCAGGGCTCCTGCCGCTTCCCCCAAGGGAACTGAGCACACTGAGCCAGCCCCTGGATGTGTCCCCTTCCCTCTGCAGCTTCAGGGGGAGAGGGCTGCAGAGCCCTCTGTGAGGAAACCCCAGTGCTGGGTGAGCGGTCTGCCCCTCCTCTGGAGACCAGGGGACTGTTCAGGGGTGCTCGGTGTCCCTCTGCTCTGGGGACTGGCCCCCCATGTCACCAGCTGCTCTGTCTGCCGCAGGAGACCATCCAGCAGCTTGACAGCGAGCTGAGGAACACCAAGTGGGAGATGGCAGCTCAGCTCCGGGAGTACCAGGATCTGCTCAACGTCAAAATGGCCCTGGACATTGAAATCGCTGCCTACAGGTACGGGGGCAGCAAGGGGAAGGTGGGAGGGTCTCAGCCAGTCCTAGCGCTGGCGACTGTATGGCTGGGCCTTCCTTCCTGGTGAGAAAGGGACAATTCTATCCCAAGACCATGGTGGGGAACATCTAGCTGGGTGACCCAGCCCTGCACGTGGCTTGCAGAGGGAAGGGTGAGGAAACCTGCATAGCCCAGGGCGCAGGAGCAGGCGGGTCAGCCAGCAGTTGGAACGCAGGGCGAGGAGGGAGATGGAGCTGCAGGGCGTGGCTGGCAGCCCCTGGTCACGGGAGGAGACGGGAGTGGAGTGAGAAGCAATCACTGACTGCCCTGCTCTGGTCTCTTCCTGGCAGAAAGCTCTTGGAAGGGGAGGAATATCGGATCGACTCTGGCTTTGGGATGATCTCCTTCCCTGAGGTGGTCCCCAAGGCTCCCAGCATCACCGCCAACATCAAGGTCAAGAGTGAGGAGAAGATCAAGGTTGTGGAAAAATCTGAGAAGGAGACAGTGATTGTGGAGGAGCAGACAGAGGAAATCCAGGTGACTGAGGAGGTCACAGAGGAGGAGGAGGCTGAGAAAGAGGCTGAAAAGGAGAAAGCTGAAGCAGAGGCTGAAGAAGAGGAGGCCAAGTCCCCACAGAAACCAGAGTCCCCCTCAAAGGAGGAGGCCAAGACCCCAGCTGTCAAGTCCCCAGAAAAACCCCCAACCCCCTCAAAGGAGGAGGCCAAGAGCCCAGCTGTGAGGTCTCCAGAGAAACCTGCAATCCCCTCAAAAGAGGAGGCCAAGACCCCAACCGTGAAGTCCCCTGAGAAACCTGCAATCCCCTCAAAAGAGGAGGCCAAGAGCCCAGCTGTCAAGTCCCCAGAAAAACCCCCAACCCCTTCTAAGGAGGAGGCCAAGAGCCCAACTGTGAAGTCCCCAGAGAAACCCCCAGCTCCCTCAAAAGAGGAGGCCAAGA